AAATTCAAGGAAATCTTGAAGGCAATGTCCATATCAAGATGCTGCAAGAAAAACGAAAAAAGCCCCAAGGAAATCTTGAAGGCAATTTCTATATCAAGATGCTGCAATAAAACGAAGAAAACCCCAAGGAAATCTTGAAGGGAATTACCAATTCAAGATTTCGCAACAAAAACGAAGACAGCCTCAAAGAAATCTTGAAGGGAATTTCCATCTCAAGATACTGCAACAGAAATGAAGAACGTCCCAAGGAAACCTTGAAGGCAATCTCCATATAACAAAAATGAAGAAAGTTCCAAAGAAGTCTTGAAGGGAATTTTCATAGCAAGATGCTGCAATAAAAACGAAGAAAGTCTCAAGGAAAATTTGAAGGGAATGTTCATGATAGGATGCTGCAACAAAATCGAAGAAAGATCCAAAGAATCTTTGAAGGAAATTTCTCTGTCAAGATGCTGCAGCAGAAATGAAGAAATCCTTAAATAAATTTTGAAGGAAATTTCTATATCAAAGATGCTGCAATAAAAACGAAGAAAATCTTAAAGAAAGCTTGAAGGGAATGTCCATGTCAAGATGCTATAATCAAAATGAGTAAAGCCCCCAAAGAAATCTTGAAAGAAAAATCTATGTCAAGATGCGGCAACCAAGACGGAGAAAATTCCAAAGTTACCTTGAAGAGAATTTATATGTCAAAATAATGCGATGAAAATGAAGTAAGTCCTAAGAAAATATTGAAGATATTTTTCATGGCAAAATGCTATAATAGAAACGAAGAAAGGACAAGGAACCGTTGAGGAAAATTCTTATGATAAGATGTTGTAATAGAAATGAAGAAAATTCCAAAGCATCTTTGAAGGGAATTTGCATATCAAGATATTGTAATAGAAACGAAGAAAGCCCTAAGGAAACCTGGAAGGGACATTCCATGTCAAGATGCTGCAACAAAAACGAAGAAAGCCCCAAGGAAACCTTGAAGGGAATTTCCATATCAAGATGCTGCATCAAAAACGAAGAAAGCCCTAAGGAAACCTTTAAGGGAACTTCTGTATCAAAATGCTGCAACAAAAACGAAAAAAGTCCCAAGGAAATCTTAAAGGGAATTTGTATGTCAAGATAATGCAACAAAACGAAGAAAATCTCAAGGAAACCTTGAAGGGAATTTCTATGTTAAGATGCTACAACAAAAACGAAAAAAGTCCCAAGGAAGTCTTGAAGGCAATTTCCATGTCAAGATAATAAACAAAACGAAGAAAATCTCAAAGAAACCTTCAAGGGAATTTCCATGTCAAGATGCTGCAATAAAAACGAAGAAAGTCCCAAAAAAATTTTGAAGGGAATTTGCATATCAAGATGCTTCAACAAATATGAAGAAAGTCTCCAAGGAAACCTTGAAGGGAATTTTCATGTCAAGATATTGCAATAAAACGAAGCAAGTCTCCAAGGAAACCTTGAAGGGAATTTCCATGTCAAGATGCTGCAAGAAAAACGAAGAAAACCCAGGGAATTCTTGAAGGGATCTTCCATGTCAAGATGCTGCGACGAAAACGAAAAAATCCTCCAAGGAAACCTTGAAGATAATTTCCATATCAAGCTGCATCAAAAATAAAGAAAGATCCAAAGAATCCTTGAAGGGGATTTTCATGTCAAGATGCTGCACCAAAAACGAAGAAAATCTGAAAGATATCTTGAAAGGAATTTCTATATCAAAGATGCTATAATAAAAATGAGGAAAGTCCCAAAGATACCTTGAAGAGAAATTTTATATCAAGATGCTGTAACGAAATCAAGCAAAATTCCAAGGAATTCTTTAAAGGCAATTTTCATGTCAAGATGTTGCAACAGAAATGAAGAAAGCTCCAAGGAAACTTTGAAGGGAATTTCCATATCAAGATGCTTCACCAAAAACGAAGAAAGCCCCAGGGAAACCTTGAAGGGAATTTCCATGTCAAGATGCTGCAGCAAAAACGAAGAAAGCCCCAAAGAAACCTTGAAGGGAATTTCTACGTCAAGATGCTGCAATAGAAACGAAGAAAATCCCAAGGAAACCTTGAAGGGAATTTCTATCTCAAGATGCTGCAAAAAAATAAAGAAAGATCCAAAGAATCTTTGAAGGGAATTTTCATTTCAAGATGCTGCAACAAAAACGAAGAAAGTCCCAAGGAAATCTTGAAGAAGATTTCTAAGTCAAGATGCTGCAATAAAACGAAGAAAGCCCCAAGGAAACCTTGAAGGGAAATACCAATTCAAGATTTCGCAACAAAAACGAAGACAGCCTCAAAGAAATCTTGAAGGGAATTTCCATCTCAAGATACTGCAATAGAAACGAAGAAAGTCTCAAGGAAACCTTGAAGGCAATCTCCATATAACAAAAATGAAGAAAGCCCCAAAGAAGTCTTGAAGGGAGTTTCCATATCAAGATATTGCAATAGAAACGAGGAAAGTCCCAAGGAAATCTTGAAGGCAATCTCCATACAACAAAAACGAAGAAAATCCCAAAGAAGTCTTGTAGGGAATTTTCATATCAAGATGCTGCAACAAAAACGAAGAAAGTCCCAAGGAAATCTTGAAGGTAATTTAAAATATCCAGATGCTGCATTAAAAACGAAGAAAGACCCAAGGAATCATTGAAGATAATTTCGATATCAAGGTACTGCAAAAGTAACGAAGAAAGCGCAAAGAAACTTGAAGGAAATTTCTATATCCAGATGCTGCAACAAAAACGAAGAAAGCCCTGAGGAAATCTTGAAGGGAATTTCCATGTCAAGATGCTGCAACAAGAACGAAGAAAGTCATAAAGAAATCTTGAAGAGAATTTCCATGTCAAGCTACTGCAACAGAAACGAAGAAAGCTCCAAGCAAATCTTGAAGGAAATTTTCATGACAAGATGCTTCCCCCAAAAACGAAGAAAATCTCAAAGAAGCCTTGAAGGGAATTTCCATGATAAGATGCTGCGACGAAAACGAAGAAAATCTCTAAGGAAATCTTGAAGATAATTTCTATGTCAGGATGCTGCATCAAAAACGAAGAAAGTTCCAAGAAAACCTTGAAAGGAATTTCCATATCAAGATGCTGCATCAAAAAGGAAGAGAGTCCTAAGGAAATCTTGAAGGGAATTTCTCCATCAAGATATTTCATCAAAAATGAAGAAAGTCCCAAGGAAATCTTCAAGAGAATTTTCATGTCAAGATGTTGTAGCAAAAACGAAGAAATCTCCAAGGAAATGTTGCAGGCAATTTGCAATTCAAGATGCTGCAATCAAAATGAAAAAAGTCCCAAGAAATCTTGAAGGCAATGTCCATATCAAGATGCTGTAATAAAACCGAAGATAGCCTTAAAGAAATCTTGAAATAAATTTCTTTATCAAGATATTTCATCAAAAATGAAGAAAGTCTTAAGGAAATTTTGAAGGCAATTTCTATATCAAGATGCTGCAAGAAAAACGAAGAAAATCCCAAGGTCATCTTGAAAGCAATTTGCAATTCAAGATGCTGAAATCAAAACGAAGAAAGCCCCAAGGAAATCGTGAAGGGAATATCCATATCAAGATGCTGCAAGAAAAACGAAGAAAGCCACAAGGATATCTTGAAAGCAATTTCTATATCAAGATGCTGCAGCAAAAACGAAGAAAGCTCCAAGGAAACCTTGAAGAGAATTTCTACGTCAAGATGCTGCAATAAAAACGAAGAAAGTTCCAAGGAAATCTTGAAGGGAATTTCTATGTCAAGATGCTGCAATAAAGCGAAGAAAACCCCAAGGAAATCTTGAAGGAAATTACCCATTCAAGATTTCGCAACAAAAACGAAGACAGCCTCAAAGAATTCTTGAAGGGAATTTCCATCTCAAGATACTGCAACAGAAACGAAGAAAGTCTCAAGGAAACCTTGAAGGCAATCTCCATATATAAAAAATGAAGAAAGCCCCAAAGAAGTCTTGAAGGGAGTTTCCATAGCAAGATACTGCAACAGAAATGAGGAAAGTCCCAAGGAAATTCAGACTATGAGGGGCTAAGTATGAGAACTTGGCAGGTGCAGTTGATGATCGGTTCTATCGCCACACTTAGACTTGAAATTCCGTGCTGGAGAGGGGTGCTGCACATGTCCTTCGCACGCTTTGGAATCCCCAGCCTTCAACCCTGGCCGTCTCCGACATGTTAGCTGCTCTTGGAGCTTCGTTTCAATAGGACTCCAGGAAATGCGGCTGTGGGGGACTTCAGGGCGCCAGGGAGGTGATGCCTGGAATAGGGATTCGGGCCTCCAGCTTGTGGGGCTTTGGAGGATCGGGAGTTCAGCTTTCGGGTGTTGCTGCGGGTGTCTGCTGCACGCTTCGAGCTGTTGAAGATGTGCAAGAGACATGCGCCCGATTTGCCAGCATATCGTCTATCTCGTGTTCTTGCCGCACACCAAACCCATGCCCCAAGCTTGAAGCCCCAAAGCCCCAAACTGGTAAACTCCCCGACCGGTAACAATCCCTCGAAACAAGAGGATACCCTTGGCTGTTTTCCAACAGCCCCATGCCTTTTGAAGCATGGCCATTCATTGAAGGCTGAACCCCGCAACTCGGAATAAGTTTACGCCCGCCCGAACCTCCCAAGCCCTACCCCCCCCTCATGCCCGTGCTTTTCGGTGTTCAGTCTCAAGTTGTGATGGCCGTGATAGGTGCTATGCATTGTGGTGCTGCTATGACAAACATGTCAGTAGGTCTTGAGCAAGTGCAGGCGTATGCATGAGGAACGCGTGCAAGCATACATACATGCTTACATAGATGACTAAGCTAAAACAAATAGCCAGATACATATACATGCACGCACACAAAAGTGTGTCTTTGGACGCAGATGTAAGTGCAGGAGAACCGAAAGCATAACTGACGACTTCCTAGAGTGTGCGATGGAGCAGAACACAACAGACTCATGCAGTTGACGATACCAAATTGAGGCAATGAATCTAGCATTTCCAGAGAACCTTCGAGATGAACATGGCTCCGCCGCTTGGCCTTAGCAAGCCCTGCGATGAACCCATGGAGAGCAGGGGCCTTGATTTTCTCCAGCTTCTGCCTGGGGTTACAATATTGCACACTGGTGCACCTGAGTTGGGGCAGCCAGCCTTCTGCAGAGAAAGCCGAAGACCCCGGCTCCCATCATCATGCGGAGCCGCAGCACCTGGACGCCGCGAGCCGTTGTGTGGTATTCTGTTTTGCTACAAGGTTTCTACATCGTGTCGGGAAGGGTTAAGGGCTGCAAACCGGTCTTAGGCATGCCGGAAGGGTATGCTTTGCCATAGCCGCAGTGCCGTCTTCACTAGTGCCGAACCCGGAGACTTGCCAAGCCCAAACCCTGCAAGCGAAACAGAGAGAATCAGGCATTTGTCGATCATCTCCCCATGTTTCAGAGGTGGTCATTTCGCATTGCGACAAGCCGCTGGGATGGATCTTCAACTATGCCCCCGTGTTGCAATATGCATGTCTGAGACTCCCGAAGGATTCGATGTGGGGTCTGCAAGGCAATGTGGGAGAACAAGAGAGACCTAAAAACCTAGAGAAGCTGAGACCCCAATTCCTGGACTCTCAGCCCAGAAATGAAATCCTGAGCCAATCCCCAAAACGACCCAAGAACGTCAAGCAAGTCGCTGGAGCCAAGGTAACCAGAAACGTCTCCAACGTGACAGTCGTCAGCAAGTGCAACCAACGAGTAGAGGGAGCACCCCCTCAAGCTCGGATTGTACCTGAGCTACTTTACATCTTGTGCTTGTCTCCATGATGTCTTAAGGCCGGCAGTGCCACAGGGCACGCACAGCAGTCGTTGTCGTCATCACCGTCGTAGTGCGTTGCAGTGGTGATGTTGGTGCTGGTAATGTTAGGTAGTTGCAGCAGCAGTCGCCGTAACTGTAGCTTTAGCTCAGTTGCAGTCGCAGTGGCAGTAGGGAAGTCTTTGTATGCACATGCAAGTCAGTGCATTCGTGTGATTATACATGTGCGACAGTGACCAGCATGCCTTTTGCTGTAGTTTATTACACTGGCAAGAATCCATGCAAGCTAAGCTGCTTTTTTGAGGGTGCGGCAACAGTACCAGGTGCGGTCGCGCAACGTGGGCCGCTGCGATCATACGTATGCACAATGGCTGGCGCAGCTGCAGAATCACATTCCGCCTGATCGGAGGCCATCTGACCTGGTACTGCTCCTCGGCTTGGACTCACAAGCTCGAGGGTAACCATGTGTAGGAGTCAAGAGCTTCGAGTCACAGCCGAGGTTTATAAAGGACAACGATATGTCGGCCCGGTCGGTCGAGCATGAGGTCGGTGATCATGCGGTTCCATTTGATGAGATGCTCGCCAGTGCCACGGGAGCTTCGCGATTCGCCTGTGGGCGTCGGATGGGGGTTTTCCGGAAGGGCGGGCCGCGCGCCAGCATTTTTCATGTCAAGGCTCTGATGGGCACCTTCCAGATGGACGTCTACAACAGGACTGCGAGCAAGCTGGCATCTTCCGAAAAAGAGCCCTTCAAGTCAAAGTACAGGAACCTGATGGCCTGGATGAAGGATCTTGGGATTGCCGAAATCCTCAAGAATCAGACAATCTTACCGGCGTGCTACGGCGGCAACTTCCTGACGTCTTACTCACAGACGGTCCTTCCGGTGTCAGACCTCTGGCAGCGAATCGAGACGTCTCTCTCCCGATCCGACAGCATTGAAGAAGGTCACTTCGCAGAGAGATCCTGGGCCGCTTTGCTCTCCGGTCGCCTAACGCTGCAAGAGGAGGTGAGGGCCTTCAGGAGCCTCCGAAGGATTCAATTCCGGCCTCCCTTGTGTGGAATGATCATGGTGAACCCGAGGCTTTAGACTCTCTGAGCCCCGAGTGTTTTGCCCGAAATCACCTGAAAAAGAAGGGCTGTCAACTCCCCGATGGCCTGAGACCCTAAGCCACAGGCGGCGAGCCGATCCTCAGCCCTAAACTCTACGCTGCGATGCGACTGGTCGATGGTGAAATGTGCGAGCATGAGGGCCTGTCTCCAATCAGGGATGCCCCGAAATACCCTCGGTTCATGCACTCGCCACCTCTAGGCTTACCGCCTACCGGTTGGGTCCGAAGCAGATCTGATCGCCAGAGCAGCTAGATGCCGATGCCGATGCTGCTACTGATCATGGTGGTGGGTGATGGCACGATGGTGGTCATGCAGTTCATCCCGGAACATGAAGCCGCTGGTAGAAAACGGTGACTTCAACATTTCCCAGAGCCTAATCTCCTCACAACTGACGATGGTGATGATGATCATGCGACTGTGGTGATGATCACGGTGAGGGTGTGCGACCAGGAGAATGACGATGATGATGACGATCGTGACGATGATGGTGCTGTGGATGCCAGTGACAACGGTGACAATCATGACAGTATACTATTGCCCTCCTCCTCCTCCTCCTCCTGGTCTTCCTCCTCCTCTTCCTCCTCCTGGTGGTGGTGCTGCTCCTGCCGCGACTACTACTACAACCATTGCCACGACTATCCACGACTACTACGCACCGCCAGCACCACCAGCACCGCCAGCACCGCCAGCACCGCGAGCACCACGAGCACCACTACCACCACCGGCAGCGCCAGCAACACTAGCATCACCAGCATCCCCATCACTGCCACCAGCACTGCGGTTAGCATCGTTTCCGTCGTCATGTTCACGGATTGCTCTAACCGTGATCACGCTTCGGCCTTGGGGTGCTGTTTGGCTGCAAGCCCAGCATCCCCGGAGAGTTGGGTGGTCTCCTGATATCGTACGAGTTCATGCGCTTTGGCAACATCAGGGTTTTGTCGGTAGGGTTCAGGCAGGGCGTAGGGTGTGGTTTCGGGTGTAGACCACAACTGGCACTTCGACTTAACAGAAACCAGCAGAAAAGTGCTCATTGGCTTTAATACCAGCAGCGACAGCAAAATTTTGCAGTAACAACGACAACGACAACAACAACTACTCCTACAAGGACACTCTATCTACAGGTGATAGGTACAAGACCTATAGCACTTGTAACAGCATGGCAGTGACAGAGTGCGACATCAATTCTGACATGCTTTGCTTCCTACATGCATGAGACGTTGGACCGGCCGTCGGCGATTAATGTTGCTCAAAGAACTCATGATCTGATCAACGAGTTCATTTACATGGTCGTCCATTATGTCTAGTTCATGCGTCGTCGCAGTAGTCGAGTAGCCTGTGTGTGCTTATCACATCGAAGGAGACAGTTAGTCGCTGTGAGCCTCAGCCAGAGAAAGAAGCAGCAACGATGCAACACTAGGGCAGGCACAACAGAAGCAGATTGCACAAGATTGACTGTGACCATGACAAAAAATGAGGAAAGCGACAATGAATCAGAGTAGGGTGCATGTCGGCATCGAAGAGTCCTTGTGTCAGACAGCTGATGCTGCGAGATGTTGCGCAAGAGGATGACAATAGATGTTGGTGCAAAGTGCTGAGTATTTTTCGGAGTGCAGTAGCAGTAGCTGTAGCTGTAGCAGTAGCAGCAGCAGCAGCAGTAGTAGCTGTCTTTTTAATTGTATTTGTAGTCGTAGTCGTCGTCGTTGTAGTCGTAGTCGTAGTGGTCGATAGCAGTAGTCATGGTGGTAGTGGTAGTTGTAGTAGTAGTAGTAGTAGCAGTAGCAGTAGCAGTCGCAGTCGCAGTCGCAGTCGGTCGCAGTAGCAGTAGTAGCAAGTACCAGGAGCGGCAAAAGTAGCAGTAGCAGAAGAAGGCGTAGCAAGAGCAGTAGCTGTGGCAGTGGTAGTGGTAGTGATATCAGTGGTGGTAGAATAGAAGTTCTGAGATGTCTCTTTGGTCATGGCTTGGCACGCACGTGTAACTCGACCATGCTTACGTCCACTCAACAGTACTGATGGCGGGAGATCGACCTCTATGTTATACCCCCAAGTGATGAAGTCAAAAAAGAGATGTCCGAGGTCATCGCTGCGGAATGAGATGGCGATGCTTCGCTTTCTTGCTGGCGAGAGGAGCAGCTTGGATGCAGTCCCAGAGTCGAGGGCCCTCCCTGCCGCAGTGGACACCACGTTGTTGTGCAGCTTGTCGCGAGGGCCAGTAGTGCCAGCATTGATCTTGGCTGATACAAGTTGAGCTGAGAAGTACCATCAGCATGCTGGCTTGCTTGATGCCACTGTGAACAGGCTCTGGGATATGGGACTGACACGCTGCGAAGCTCTGTGCTTGACCACGATGTGCCAGAGAGGCGCCTCGTCTGCAAGCTTTGTGGCCCGGGCGCTCTGTCGAGAATTTCAGGTCTTGGGCCTCTTGCTGCGGTGCCTAGGTCCTAGGTGCCTAGGTTCACTGCCTTCTGATTTCTGGTTCCACCACCATCACCATGGCACTGATCACGCTCCGTGAGTCTCACGCCTCGTAGGGCTTGGGGATCCTGGGGCCCTAAACCCCCGAAGCCCGAAGGGGCCCCATCAGAAACCTTCAAGCCCAAGCCTTACGATCTCAAAGCCGTGGCTTCTAAGGAGGAGCGACCATTCCTTGCAGACCGTCCAGAGATCCGATTCTTGGCCAGCACGGCGCGGGGTTCTTGCACCTAGGGCAATCTGATGAATCTGGGGGCCCCATGGGGTCTTCACCAAAGAATGCTGCCTCCAAAGCTCTAAACTTCCTACACCCTAAACCCTGATTTAGAGCCGAATTGAAGGGCCCCCAACATTTCCTTCCAAATGTTGAGACGTACACAAACTACTGATGATGATACAAATCCTGCATTACCTAAAGGACCCTAGACTATGGGAGTTATGGTATATTCCTTATTATGGGTCATGCAGGATTTATATCATCAACCGTATGGTTAGAAGAGCGTTGGAATTGGCGAGGCTCTAGGGACCATTGTGAGCCTGGAGCCGCAAACCCTGAACCCTAAAGCCAGCACCCCTCAGCCTGCAAGGCCTGCCGACTAACCTTCAGGGCAGGAGGAAATGAGTTCAAACAAAAAGCCAGCACCCTGACACATCTTTCAGGTGCCCCAAACCCTTTCAATCCCTCGAACATGTGCAAATCCTGGAACTCCTAACCCCAAGCCCTAAGCTCGAAGCTCCGACACCCTTTCTCGCCCGAGATGCCAGCCCCGAAGCCCCACAAAGCCCTAACCGTCAGACCTGCACCTGAACCCCAAAACCAAAAAGCCATGAATCCTTAGACCCTTAAACCGTAAGCCCTGCACCCTGAAAGATTAGAACGACTTCCTCCTAAATCCCAAAGCCACCAGGAAATGGAGATGAGCCGCGCGGTTGCCTGGCGAATGGACTGCCGTGCCGTCGCCCCCTCCGAGCTGATAGCTGCTTTGGTCGCTTGGAGTTCAGGGTTAAGGTTTTGGTCTATCCTAAGGCTTGGGATTTTGGCATGTGGCATCTAGAGTGGTGTGTCGAAGAGTTTCTGCCTAACGTCAAGGACTGAGAGTCTGTGCCGGTTTGGGTAAAAGAGTTGGGATCTGGGGAACATCAGTGTTGGGTCGTTCAAAATGGACCCGTTGATTGACAGTGCGCACAGGATGCCAACTTTAAGACTACTTGTAAGCACAAGTGTAAGAGTTGGAGGAGCTGGAGCAATAGTCGCACATAGAACAGATGTACGTAAACACAGAAGAAGGGTTGGCATTTGCAACCATGCTAGCACTAGTTGTAGACTTAGACTTACCCGGTTTGTAACATCGACAGTGTCAACAAAGAGAGTTAGGTAGGACCACCGAGCGTGCCAGAGTGAGCAGAGCATCAACCCGTGCTCCAGTATGCACGTTCGAGGTAGTGCAGCAGCCAGGGTTTATGTGATTTTGAGATGCTAGAGTGCCACCTAAGGCTAGCGAGGCTCGTTCCTCTGACTCCTCTTAGCTGTGTCCCGTTCTCTTGCCAAGCCGAAGCTTCAAGCTGATGAGGGATCGGGCTTGGGGTCCTCAAAGCGTTGTGTTGCGTGACTTCCTGAGCTTCTTAGGGAGGATCTGCAGGTCGACAGCAAAGTCATTTGCGGGAGGAGCTATGGTAGGGTTTGCGCTAGTCAGAGGTAGCCTTGTTGGAATCATTTCTTCACTTCCCTGTGCCGGCAGCCGTGTTTGGGCACATGGACCAAGGATTACTGTGCCATGGTTCAGAACTGGGGGTGCCCTGGCGGCACTGTCCCTGTTGGGCCCCTGATCCTTGGGTCATCGGCCCTAAACCTCAGTCCACCACACAGCAAAGCCGGAGCCCGGTGAAGGAGTCTGGCATGCGATGCAATCCTTTCTTTCCCAAGTACAGTAGCGGTTTTGGCAATGATAGCACGGCAACGCCGACGACTACTACTATCTCTGTTGCCACAACTACTTTGTCTGCCACCGTCATTGCCTACGTTTAGGTCGACGACGACAACGACGACGACTGCTACTGCTACTGCTACTGCTGCTACTACTACTACTACTGCTACTACTACTACTACTACTACTACTACCACTGCTCCTGATCATGCACCTGTTGCTGCTTCTGCTTCTGCTACTGCTGCTACTCTCTCTGCTACTGCTACAGTTCGAGCAGCTGCTGCTGCTATATTAATTTAGACTTGCTACTATTGTTGATTTCATTTTTACTCGTACTCCTCCTCCTCCTCCTCCTTCTCCTCCTACTCCTACTGCTCCTACTCCTACTGCTACTGCTACGGCAAGCATTAGTACGAAGTGGATCTTCTTGAGGCCCCGAGCACGGTCGAACTTAGGCCATAAGGGTCGAAAAATGCTGCTAGATGCTTCGGAAAGTTTAAGTTGCCCTGCAAGGTACGTCAGCCTGCCGTTCGTGTTTATATGGGTCGTGGTGCTGATATGGCTGCTCAACACTACAGCCCCT